TGCCTATATAGATATAATTACTTTTATAGTAGAATAGGGGTAGCCTTATTAATATCTATCGTTTAGGCGTTATAAACCGGGCTTATAACTATCGCACGTTAAAAGGCACTTAAATAATTAACTTAGTAGAGTAGAAATCTCGTGTGTGTATATTCTATTAAGTTATATCTAGGAGAGTCTCTTATGCCCTTAATTTAGGTGGTAAAGACTCTATTATAGGTACTATATTATTTAGATCCTATCCGGTCTTTTCCGGTATCCACCCTTATTATATCCTAATGCCCGAAGTCCCCGATATCCGGAGCCCTTAGTTATAGAGTGGATCCCCCCTAGATCCCCTATAGACTATATCGTGGTCCTGCCTATACAATACGAGCGCTATAGGCTCCCTTAACGCCCGCGATAACGCCCGTACCGCCTAATATTACCGGTCGATACAGCGACTAGCCCTTAGTGTTAACGCAGAGCTTAACACCCCTCCTAAGGCTAAAGCAGTGGCGAAAGACCTATATCTCCGTAATGTTCCCCGGAATAATAATAGAAATATAAGAAACGATTTAGAAACGATTTAGAAACGATTTAAAAACGATTTAGAAACGATTACTAATATATCTTATTTCTTAGCCCGATATCCTTCGTATAAAACTAGATCTTTTTAGTTAGTGCCCGGAGGAATATTACTAGGCCTATATAGAGTAGAACTCTATTAGTCGTAGTATACTCCGTGTTATTTTTTTCCTAGTATTTTTAGCTAATAGTATATATTTCCTAGACTACCCCCCGCCGTACTATAACTATCTTTACACTATTTAGGCCGAATACCGCTATAATAAAATAGCTAATAGGGAAGTGGTTTCCGGTAAATTAGTAATCGCCCCTAGAATAAGAAGTATTAAGCTAATAGTTATTTTACTAGATTTTCCCGCTACTGCCCGCCCGCCTCCCCGAAACCATCGCGTCTCTCGGGCGCGTGCCACGACTCCTAATAACGAGGAGTAGATTATCTTTAGGGAAACGTTTCCGGGGTATCGGTATTCCGGTTTTTTAGTCTTATTAATAATAATTATATACCTAAAGGAGTTTTTTTACTATAGGGGGTTTTTTCTTAAATAAAAATAATAGATAACGATTTCGACGCCTAAACTATTCCCTCTTTTCCTAACTCGATTACTTTTCACGAAGTAAAAGCTCTCTATTTAGTTTAATCCGCCTTAATTCTAGCTAAAAACGCCGCTCGTTCTTAAGCCTTTACCTTTTAATTTCCGCCTCTAATTAACGATCTTTCCGAGCTATTTCGCGTCGACGTTCCTCTATACTTAGATTCCTCTCCTTAAAAGATATAAACGCTTATAAAGCTTAAGTCTAGCCTAAGGTAGCTTATTAATAAAGATTATATATATTTTAGCGCTGACTTTATAAGCGTCTTAGAGGAACCCCGCTTAATAATACACTTCTTACACTTCTGGCTAGCGAACTTCGGGAGTCTAATCCAGGATTATCTAGATAAAAGACCCCGAAATCTTGTAAAGGGTTAAGAGGTAACCTTAAGATTAACCGGCTAGCGTTTATTATACGGCTTCGTAAGCGATCGCGGATATTTTTATCCCGCTCTATATTTATCTTACATAGTTTTCGCTCTATAATAAAGTATTATTAATAACTATTATAGTACGTATAAGGATATAGTTAGACTTACTTTTCCGACTAAAATGATTATTAAGCCGACCGCTTATACTAGTATTTCGCTATAAGCCCGGGACTTAAAGAGAGCGCGTAGTAAAATCTCTTAAGATTAGATTCTAATTATAATCCCGATATCTAAAAAGGTTAGCCAGTATATTAGGTGTATTATATGGTAAACTCACCTATTAATCACTTTAAGGATATAGATATTTTATCTAGTCTATCCGTATAAAGCTTAGTATATTACCTTAATAGTATTCGAATTATCCGAAATCAGTGCCTAATTCTTAACCGGTATATTAGAAGTAGCTTAATAAAATCCTACCGCGATATATAGAAGCCGCTTATAAATCGCCTAGTTATAGTACTAAGGAACTCTCCTTAGGATATAGGTTAGTATCTAAATACCCCGGGAAATATTTCCGAATCGTTCCGGAATCGTTTCTTAATTATATCCGAATCGTGTCCGAATCGTTTTTAAGGAATTTTTAGATCGTTCGCGGGGCAGACTCACGGCTAATCTTATTATAAAGGTTATTATAATCCTCCTTCGTCTAGTATTCTAGCAGACTTATTATAACCCGGTACAATAAGCCTTCGCCTCTTTCTAAGTCACCTCCTAGAATACTTTTAATTCCTCGCCGAAAATAAACTATATAGAGTTAAATATAGTAAGTTACCTATACTTCCTATAATTCTTCTAACCGATATCTTTCCTAAAGATATTTTCCGAATCCTTAAATTACTAGTAAGGCCTAATCTAAGGTTACCCTAAGAAGACTAGTACTATAGAGGTATTTCTACTAGATTAGTATCGTATACTTATCCTTTAGGATACGGAAGACCTATCGAAATATATAAAGATATATCTCTATTATTTCTAAGTTTATATAGCACCTTACTAAAAGCAGCACTATTATATATTAGAAAAAATCGAGAAACGATTCCGAACCGATTCAGAAATATTCAGAAATATTCAGAAATATTCAGAAACGATTCGGAAATAATTCGGAAACGATTTAGAAATATACCTCGCTCTAAGTTAGGACTATACCAGGCCTAAATAATTTCTTTTTACTCTATACCGCTAATATATTTATAGTTAGTATCGACGAAGAAAGAAGTTATATCTGGGAACTTCTACTACTTTACCTGCTCTTTAAAAAAACAGATCACTATATAATTATATCGTGATTAGTATAAGTGCTAAATATACTAGAGGGGTTTTATTAGAATATATCGCGTATTTTAGTAAGTAGAATACTTATATATAACCGTTAATTTACTTTTTTTATCTGCTCGAGTACTAAAGTAATACTCCGACCGCCTTAAGGGAATAGGATAATCTGCTATTTACGAATAATATATCGAAGGTAGTTAGTATTCGTAAGACTAATATAAATATCTATAATCGTCTACCCTTTAAACTTAGCGATAAATTCCTTAAGTTTACTTAATTTAAGGAATACGGTTAGTGTTATTATCGGTTTATTAATTTTCGCGATAACTCTAGTAATCCTATTAATCACTAATAAGGGGGCTTTTAATAGGAGTAGGGGAGGGTCAGTATATATTCTATAGGAGGTTATAATAATCTATAGTGTTATATCGAAATCGTATAGAATAAAAAATCGAAATTCGACGTTATATTTTCGACTTTAGATTTCGCTAGGCCCCGCGAGATAAACTTTATCTGTTTCTAAGCGTTAGTGTATCTAGTTAAAATATTACCCGAAACGTTTCCTAATCGTTCCTAAATCGGTCCTAAATCGTTCCAGAATCGTTTCCGGGATATCTCTAGGTTATTTCTAAATTAACGCACTATATATCCTTCATTTTCTATAATTAATCGTGAAAAAGTAGTAGTTCTTATTTAGATTCGTAAGGATACCGTTTATCGTAGGATTAAAAGCGCGTTTTATAAGGTCTATATAAGGGTAATAGACTAATAGAATAATCGCGAGAAAATAATAACACGTCGTGTCCGATAGTATCTAAGACCGGCACCGTATACGATACTATTAGAAGTTTATAAGATACTATACTTAATTAGAATAAATCCGAAAGGATATAGAATTTTATAAGGTTATACTTATATAGTAGATACTAGAGTCTACTACTAGGAAATATACTTAGTCCGCGTCTATATAGGTAGTCTTTTTAGTGAATCTTCCTTTTACTGCTTAAGCCTATCTAAAATATATTAGTATTAATTTCACGTTAAACGCGTTTTCTTTACCCTAAAGCTTTCTTCTACACGGTTAGCTTTTTTACTTCGGCCCTTTATACGCTAATCTAATTAAGTAATTACGGCGTAATACTCTCGTGATAGAAGTCTAATTAAGAAAGATATTAATAAGCTTTACCCCCTTAACACGTATATATATAACGGAAAACAGGGGTATTACTAAGTATGGCGCTAGTCGCCCGGAAACCAGGTTATTTTCGAGCTATTTCGTACTGGATCTAGAGATATATTAGTTAATAGAAGTAATAAATAAGGTAGATAAAGCTAAACCTTACTATTTTCTAAGGGGATTTCTTCTCCTTATTACTTAGAACCTCTACTAGAATAATTATAGCCACCCTAGCAGGAGACGTTTAAGGTATCTTAGGAATTCCGGCTATATAAAGGATATTATCCACCTCTATAGCGCGAGAGCCTAGGGTAAGTCGTCTATTACTATATATAAAAGCAGAGATAAGAATTAAGATACTTTCGGCGTTAGATAGAATCTAATATTAGTTAGTAAAGTAAATTATAATATACTATTTAGTATATATTCACCTAATTAACTTAATTCCTTTAGATTATATCCCGTGGAGGTTATCGGCTCGGGTATAATCTATAAAGATATAGTCTTTGATTTTTATTCTTAACGAATCTAAGATTCTGAAAATCATCTTCTTAATCTTCTAAGCCTTTAAGCTCTTCCTATTACTAAATCTTACTATCCAGATCTAATTCTGTATAGGAAGTTATCTTTAATAAACTACTAATTATTCCCGAATCGTTCCCGAATTATTTCCGAACTATTTCCTAGTCTTTCTTTAATTTATCACTATCTACCTTAATATTACCCCTTACTTATATACCCCTCTTATTAAGGCCCGATTCCTTACTTAAGGCATACACGTATATTATATAACCTAGCATAGACCTCGCCCTATAGTAACCCTTAGCTTAACTTTCCGCCCTACTCCGCCCTATACCTACCCTCAGGCTAGCCTCACCCTTAGATATCAGTTTACCTGTAACCTCGTATTAGGGGTCAAGGTTCATATCTCGGCGGTGCTATCCGGTTGACGATAATGTTGCCCTGTGTTTCGAGGTGTGGAAGAAGAACCGAGTTCTGTTCATGTTTCCCATCACCCCCCTTTTTTCCCTTTCTTTTCCTCCTTCTTTCTTTTCTCTCAACTTTCCCTTTCAGGATTCTTCTGGGCCCTTGGCCACCCCATGTGAGGAATCCTCGACGTGCATACGTTGTACGCACTTTGAACCGCATGGACCCCCCGCGAGGGAAGGGGTGGTGCAGTCCCAAGACCTTGGCTTCGTGGCGTCGTCCTGTCACATCCTCCCTACTGGTAGGCTTTGCGACGACTTGAACCAAGACAACCGGAACGGAACGTTTTCAATGCGCGCGGAATGTTTATTACTGACGTTGACGGGGGCTATTGACTGACTGAACGGGTTAAGCTCTCGGCTCGCCTTGAGTTTGTCGTTTGACTGACTCGTGTGCCCTCGTCTAGGGCTGGCTAGGTGGTAGGTAGTCTAAGTCGTCCTGGGCAGTTTAGATAGTGCGAACCGGTCTAAAAAAAAAAAAGTAGGATGAGGGCTAGTAGAAAAGTCCTTCTTCAACGAACGGATTGCCCCATTGGAATGAGTCGCGGTAGTCAGGGTCGCGGAGGATCGTGCACCGCTCATGTCAGGGGTCACTCCTTGTTAGCCCTCTCTTCATTACCTAGTCTAGCTTAGGGCGTACTGCACCGGCAACCAACAACACTGAGGAGAACGCTAACTAGGCGTTTCTACGACGTACAACGTATATAGCAGAGTGGGAGTGGTGTGACCCTGTTGTGATGGACTTGACCGTCCGAGGCGGGGATGCCTGGTAGTCGTCTATGCGAGACGACTCGACGAGACTGCGTGTGTTCTGTATTACCACTCTGGACGCCATCTGCCGATTCGTAGGTAGCACCAGATGGGGACTTTGGTATGACTCGGGGAGAAGAACGGAACTCGGTCGACCCCCAGAACTAACACGAGTCCGGGAGGTGCATGCGGTCCAGTATGGATCTTCCCAGCCTTTATCAGCCCACTGCCGTATTTTGGGTAATTACTTACTTTTACACTTACTTGCACTGACTCGTCGAGACCGCACGGCCCCCTGGATGCATCCAAGTGAGACGACCAACTTTTTGGTAGAGCCATCCTGGGCGCTGGGCATCTGGGATACACCATGCGGCGCTGGTGTAGTAACGCACACGCAGTAATAACAGTCTAGTCTTTTTGGTATTAGGCTCGGTGAGGCTTTCTCTATTTTGCTCTGCCGGCGGCCGTACAACTGTAGAGTCCAAGTGGTTAAGAGATGATAATAAGGGGACGTTAGGTAAAAAGCAGTGTTTCGCTCTCTTTTTCCCCAGCACGAGCACAGTGTCCCGGAAGAGAGAGTCCTTTACAGGCTTTTCGACAACTATCATGGTGTAAATTCACTGGAGGTTCCTCTTTTTGTTTCTTCTTTTTCTCTCGAACCGTGCCGCCCGATCGTCAAAACAGAACAGCCGGGAAGAAAAGGGAGCACAGAGAATCAGATACCTTGCACTCGCCATGAAAGTCCGGCGCGCCAATGCGAGCGGTGACGGCCCGGCGCTGGACGTGATCGATCGCTCCCGAGACGACGAATCCCGTTTCGCCGAGATCTGCGCCATCTTGGTCGTCGGCGCCGCGCTGTCCACGCTGGCCGTCACCCTCCGCTCCATCACGCGTCTGTTCCTGGTGCGGAGGTTTGGTCTCGACGATGGCATCATGGTGGTTGCTCAGGTCTTGGCCATTGGGACTGCCGTTGCCATTGGGATAGGTGAGATCAAAGGAGATTCGTTTTATTTCCCCTGGGCCCTGGCCGCCTGGCGAGAGGGGAGGGGGGTGGACTACCGTATACTGACCTGTGCTCGCGTTGGTGTAGAGAGCAAATATGGCCTCGGATCACATACTTGGGTGCAGCCAGACGAACACTTTGTCCCCTACATGAAGGTCCGTTTTCTTATGTTTTTTTTTCTTTTCTTTTCTGGTCTCTGGTCTCTGTTCTTCATGCTGCCCTCGTACTAACAGCAGACACTCATCTAGGCCTTCTACAGCTCCATCGTCGTGTACAACGTCTCCATGTGTCTCGTCAAAATCTCCATCCTGCTGCAATACCGCCGCATCTTCCCCGTCGGCATGATCCAAACCATCACCTTCTACGGCATCGCCTTCCTCGTCGCATGGGCCGTCACCCTCTGCTTCCTCCTGCCCATGGTCTGCATGCCCGTCGAGAAGTTCTGGGACGCCACCATCCCCGGCCGCTGCCTCGACTCGCTCGCCATCTGGTATGTCATGGCCTCCATCAACGTGGCCACCGACTTTATCATCTTCGCCATGCCTTTGCCTGTGATCCGGTCGCTGCAACTCCCGCGGAGGCAAAAGCTGATGTTGGTCGGCGTTTTCGGGTTGGGCTTGTTGTACGTTCATGTTCCCTATGTCCTCTTCCACCAAAAGGCCCATCCAACTGACAACTGTGCTCGAAATACAAAACAGAACCTGCATCATCTCCATCATCCGCATCCGCACCCTCAAAGTCGCCGCCTCCACCGACGACCCCAACTGGGACAACGTCGACGCCGCAACCTGGTCCTTCCTCGAGGTCTCCATCGCCGTCATCGCCGCCTGCCTGCCCACCCTCCGCCCCCTCTTCTCCACCCTCATGCCGCGCGCCTTCGCCGGCTCCTCCGCCCGCCGAACCCACCACCCCCACCCCCGCTCCGGCTACGGGTTCGGCGCCTACGTCCACGCCGGCAGCCGCCTTCCCAACAGCAGCGGCAGCGGCGGCGGCGGTGGCGGCGGTACCCGGCTCGGCAAGTCCGCCCTCGGGAGGTCCGACAGCACGCGGTCCCTGCAGGACCGGGACAGCATCGAGCTGGCGGCCAGCGAGATGAAGATGCCGTCGCTGGTGCCTCCTGGTGGGGAGTACAGCATTAGCGTCAGCGCGGGGCGGAAGGGGGATCGCGGGGTTGGGTCGAGGGTGGTGGGAGACGAGTCGCCGGCGTCGAGTGTGGTGGATGGGATTCAGACGACGACGGTGGTTACCCAGCATGTTAGTCCGTTTGAGCCGGAAAGGCATTGATCGGCGCGTTCTTTTCTTTTTCCTCTTCTTTTTCCTACGCAAGCGATTTTACCGGATACCTATACCCTCCTATGCCATACCTATATAAGAACCAGTGAACCACAGAGACTTGTGTGCGGGCGTTGGGCCTTGCGTTTCACCCAAGGGTGTGTTAATATATTAATTAATATATTAATTAATATATTATATATCATATATGATAATACCGACACAATCGACAACACTCTCGTGCTGTCCAAGATCATTGTTCTGTTCACTTGCAGTCTTCGGTCAAGCCAACAAATCCAACACGTGCATCCACAATGTTGGTTCCCCAGATTTGACGTCAAGGTTTCTATGCACATCATCGGTTGACGGAGACAGCTGCGGGCGATTTATGATATATGACCTACGAGTGGTGGAGAACGGGAAAGGTTGAGAAGAGAAAAAGAAAACACCCGGCATGTCGACAACCCAGTCTTCGGCCCTGAAAGGAGAACATGGAATAAAAGACAGGAGTCTCGACTCTGGCTAAACTCCACTTAATCTATTTCTTACCAACATGTCGGGGAAGATGGGCCTGCGTCCGGGGTAGGGTCGCATCGTGGTGTTTATGCTGTGTATTTGGTTTCCCCCTTTTTTTCATATTTATTTATTTATTCTTTCTATCCTTCTTTTTCTTCCACTTCTCCAGAGTTGACCCCTGAACCCTGCCCTCGTCAGCTGTAGTGCTCACTCGGTCAAGCGACCCCTGAATATAGACATGTCCGTTGCCACTTGCAGTGCATCTACTTCTACAATTGCCGGTCGATTCCCCGATGCACGACAAAATTGCTCAGCATCAGGTAATGCCCTCTCGGGGGCATTACCAAGTCTGGTGCGTTCAATGTGTTGTGAAACCAAGACGACACCGTTGCTTCCCCTGTCCACATGCACATCTCTACCACACACTTGCATGTCAAAGTCCCATCAGGGTAAGACGTAAGATTGCAATCGAAAGAGGATGCCGCGATATATGGATCGGCCGAGGTTCACCCAAGTCTTTTCAAATAGGACCCCTTCGCCTCCAACATGAACATGAACTTTAGGGAAAGGTTCGTCGTGACAAGTCGTGCTCCGTCCGTCCAGATTGCAAGACAGCACCACAGCACCACAACACTACAACACCCACTCAGTCACACACCATGCGCCCCAATCGACCGTTGCGACTCCTAGCCCTGCTAGGGGCAGCGGCCACCACCGCCTCCTCCGCCTCCGTTGCCCTCGCACCCCGCGAGGACGCCACCTACGACTACATCGTGGTAGGCAGCGGCCCCGGCGGCGGTCCCCTCGCCAGCAACCTCGCCCGCGCCGGCTTCGAGACTCTCCTCATCGAGGCCGGCGACAACGAGATCGCCGACCCGGCCACCAACGTGGCCTCCTTCTTCGCCACCACCGGCATCAAGGAGAGCCTGCACTGGGACTTTTACGTCAAGCACTACGACGACCTGGAGCAGACCAAGAAGTTCCAGCATCTCGTCTGGCGCCTCCCCGACGGCTCGCAGTGGGTCGGCCCGGGCGGCTCCGAGCCCGAGGGGGCTGAAGTCCTCGGTGTGAATTACCCGCGCGGCGCTACGCTGGGCGGGTCTTCTGTCATCAACGCCGGAGCTGTCCTGCTTCCTAATGATAGTGATTGGAATTATGTGAAGAACATCACCGGTGATGGCACATGGAGGTTGGTCAATGCCCCTAGGAAATACGATAAAGCCCAAGTTGACTTGCTGACTTACAATGGTCCTCTAGTGCGGCCAACATGCGAAGAATCTTCGCAAAGCTGGAGCGCAACACCTACCTCCCCGAAGGAACCGAGGGCCACGGCTTCGACGGCTACGTAGACGTAACCATCGGAGACGGCAACCAGTACCTCTCCTCCCCCCAGGCCGTGGAGATCATGACCGCCATGGCCGAGGAGCTCGGGAAGGACCCCGCCGACCTCCCGACGCTCCTCACCGCCGACGCTAACTACCTCGACCCCGAACGAGACTTCACCGAGGGCCTGTGGGCGCTCCCCTTCCACGTCAACGAGACATGGGGTCGCGTCAGCGCCCGCAACTACATCCTCTCCACCTTCAACGCGCGAGACAAGGGCGCCTGTACCAAGAAATACCCCCTCCACCTCCAGCTCAACACGCTCGCCACGCGCGTCCTCTTCTCCCACCCCTCCGAATCCGAATCGGACCAGCCGAGGGCCGTCGGCGTCGAGTTCCTCGAGGGCAAGAGCGTATACCAGGGCGATAGGAGGCACGACCCGTCCAGCAAGGGGACGCCCGGCCGCGCCTACGCTCGCAGGGAAGTCATCCTCAGCGGCGGCGCCTTCAACACCCCGCAGCTCCTCAAGCTCAGCGGGATCGGCGACGCCGCCGAACTGGCGCAGCACGGCATCGACGTCGTCGCCCCGCTCCCCGGCGTGGGGACCAACATGCAAGACAGCCAGGAGATCGCCATCACGGGGCTCGCGGCCCAGAACTTCACCTTCGCGGACCCCCCCTCGGGCCCGGACCCGACCTGCAGGCGCGACGGCGCGCCGGGCGACGACCCCTGCTACGACCTCTGGCTGCAGGGCAAAGGCCCCTACGCGCGGGCGGGGCCCAACACGAGCGCCTTCCTCCTGCGATCGAACCACAGCGCCGACGGGGAGCGCGACCTGACCATCTTCGCCGGCCCGTTCGCCTTCCGCGGCTTCTGGCCGGCCACGGGACAGGAGTTCCGCGAGCCGCCCAACACGTGGGGGATGCACATGGTCAAGATGCGGCCGCAGAACCGGCGCGGGGTGGTGAAGCTGCGGTCCGCCGACCCGACCGAGATGCCGGAGATCAATTTCCACCTGTTCGCCGAGGGTGCGGACGTCGATATCGGCGCCATCAAGGACGGCGTGGCGTGGGGACGGCGCGCGTTCGGGCGCGTGAGGGGCGGCGCGGCGCCCGTGGAGATCACGCACCCGCCGTGTGCTGCGGGGCCGAACCCGGACGGGAGCTGTGCGGACCCGGAGGCGGACGAGGCGTGGATTCGCGACGATGCGTTCGGGCATCACGTCACCAGCACGTGTCCCATCGGCGCGGACGATGACGAGATGGCCGTGTTGGATTCCGAGTTTCGCGTTCGTGGCGTGAGGGGGCTGCGGGTCGTGGATGCGAGTGTGTTTCCTCGCACGCCTGGCTCGTTCCCCGTCATTGCGACGTTTATGGTCAGCGAGAAGGCGTCCGAGGTGATTCTTGGCCAGGCGTGAGTGAGGACGACTGTGATGGGGCTCGGCTCTAGTGTAGATATCTTGCAGATAAGAACGCGATAGGCACCAGTTGACCGTTTCTCTCCATTCGCTTACTTAACCCGTGTAGGCCACGTGACAGCATGGTCGAATTCCCTCCGGGCCATGACCCCACCACCGAGTCCGTACTGAGTACCGCCGTGACTTTTGGTCAGCCACCCGGCCGACTTACCTGTGGCGGGTGTCGCTGATGCTTACGTCGTATGCAGTACTTCGGTCAAGGCAACGTCGGTTTCTCATCTCAATGGGTATTGAAGTCCGCGACAGATGCTGATGCGAATGTCCTGAGATCGCCTTCCTCCCGGGTTTCTCTGGAGGCCTGGGACACGTACCTTTTGCTAGGACGTCAAGTGTCCAGAGCAATCCATTTCCATTCTGCAAGCGGCTCGAGATGGTAGGCTTCGAGATAGTATCTTTGTACTTGGTTGGGTTAACATTTCTAATCCTCACTCCGCAGGGCATGCAACGGTACATTGGACAAGGGTACCAGGTATTGAACCCAGGGGCAGGTGTGGCTTGTCATGTGTTGGGACACTGGGATAGAGTCCCCACCATGCCATGTGCTTCAATATCTAAAAGACATGCATACCTCACGAGATGGTGTTCTGGGAGGTCGGATAGTCGGATACCGCCCTACCCTAAATTGTATCTCTGAGAGCTGCAGAGGGTCTGGATCTCGGGAATACCATACCCTAACCGCCCGGGTACTTGCAAGTTCAGGCATTTCCGGCAACTGGGAACCTGTCCATGCTATCAGGTATTTTGCCATGTGCAATCAAGGCATCGCTACTTCGTATACATTGTAAGGTACCCATTTGTTCTTGGCTTTGAACACGCAGGCACACACACACACCTACACCTACAAAGTACACCATATACAATACATGGATGTCTCTAGACAGGCGCCTCTGCTCGACCTACCTGCACATGGACCTTGGTTATGGCGAGGCTTTATCGAAGGCTGAATTGAATTCCCTACACTGTAGTTCGTACCCCATACCCCCACCACCGAGGGAATCATCATCACCCACCAACCCCTCCCGTCAAAATTTGCTTCGACCTTCTATGGCGTTCTGCTGCAGACACAACCCTACATTCATGGTCTCCCACTCGCCGATCTGAATGCGGGGCCAGGCTTGTCTTGTCAATCGCGATGGATATGGGTACCTATGTACAATGTAAGGTACTCCAAGATGCAAATACACTGTAGACACAAGTTATCAAAAATGGGTTCTTGGTGCATTCTCATTACCTACCCTAATTAGTAAATACCAAATAAAAAGCTGCCTTCCTCTTCTGTACGGTAATTATATAACTTGTCTTGAAAGCACAACATGTCTCTAATTTCCTCCACTCCGTCAGAAAGAGAGGAACAGAAATCGGATTATTTAAGCGTCCCGCTTCTCCCGAGGTTGTCTTTGTCTCTTATTATTGCATTGCCCCTGCCAATTCGTTCACCCTTTTTGTACCCATGACGTGACCTTTTGACCTCCCTTTGCTCTTTCTTTCCATCCGCCATCGACGTCAAAAACACTGCGTGCAACATATTCATGCACAAACACACGTCACCAAACGATTCATAAAGATTCACTTGAATCACTCAACAGACGTGAAGCCAAACTTGAAGCCGACCTGCCAGTTTCTCAATTTCGCCCAATTTTTATTGCTCTTTTTATTGGTTTCTTCGTCTTCTTTTTTTCTTTTTCTTTCCTCCTTTTCCCTTCTCAATAAAAGTTCCAATTGATTCAGCTTATTCTGTGGGATCCATTTACCCATCGTGAATTCACAGACAGCTCAACCATTTCCTGCCTTTTTCCATCTAGGGTACTCCCAGACACAATCCTACCTCAAACAACCATCTATTCAACTTTTACCTCAGACCATTCCACCTAATCCAAGTTTCAACCACACACTTACACACGAGAAATCTTGATCACTCCAACTGGACCCCCGCGCCCCCCCGCCTCCCGCCTTACATCCGGGATACCTACAACTGTACAACGCAACGTACTAGCACACAGCTTACCGGTGCCCCCGCTTCCGAGGAGGGGCAACGGTTCTTGTTCCTATACGGTATACAGGTACACTGGCACATTTTCTTCGGGCTAGTCTCTGCTGAGCTTTTAGTGTGCTCTCACTGCTGCTCGTACCTGCTGCACGAAAGAGAGGGGGAAGGGAAGAATAAGACAAAAAAAAAACAAAAAAGAGCCTGACAGAACAGTACCGGACTTGCCCAGTCACCTGAAATCATGGTGCATGTGCCTACTCGACTCAGAACAATCTCGCTCAGTTGAGTCTTGCCCCTCCATTACCTTGACCTTTACCTTGACCCTTGCTTTGACCTTTACCATTAATCATCTATTTACCTCTTTGCCCATTACTTCATACCACTTCCCATCGTTGCATCTCTTTCGATCCCATAAAGCCGTGTGCATTCGTTTATTCCGACTTGCAGAGAGCTTTACGTTTCCCCACGACATCCCCCTTCTCCCCTCCCGTCGCCTCCCCACGATCCAAAACGACGTCATCAGTTTTCTTGAATCGACTGCCATGCTGACAGGTTGGCTGTCGTACCCAGCCAGCGCGGGATCCAGCGCAAGCGACCAAAAGTCCCCAGCTCCCGAGGATGATGATATCCTCGTGGTTGAGCCCGAACAGGGCAATGGTCAGTAAACTCGACACTTTATATACCCCGACTTTCGACTTTCCGAACCTCCCAACAGCTAGCTGCTGACAATGCCCTCTATACAGTCCTCACTCACATCATCTCCCAGCTTCGACCGGGTGCCGACCTGGGTCGAGTCACCCTGCCGACGTTCATTCTCGAACCACGCAGTATGCTCGAAAGAATAACAAAGTCAGAAAACATCCCTGCCTTGCACTCCCCCACCGCCCAAGCGAGCTTCCCAGAGGGATCACTCTGACATTCGTATTCTTCCACAACAGCTTCATGTGCCACCCGGAGATGCTCCTCCCCATTCCCGAAATCGACGACCCCGTGCAACGATTCGTCTCCGTCGTCAAGTTCTACCTGAGCGGCTGGCACATCCGTCCTCCGTGAGTCATTGCTGCCCTAGATTCCAATTTCCGCCCTCGTTTGCGCCATGAGCTTCGGCCGCCCGCCTATAGCTGTCAATGTACTGACCCTTCCCCTTTCCACTCCTGCAGAGGCGTCAAGAAACCCCTGAACCCCGTCCTTGGCGAGATCTTCACCTGCAGCTGGGACTTGCCCGACAAGTCGAAAGCCTACTACATCTCCGAGCAGACCTCCCACCACCCGCCAAAGTCGAGTTATTTCTACATGGTCCCCGGCCACCATATCCGAGTCGACGGCACCCTGAAGCCCCGGAGCAAGTTCCTCGGAAACTCCGCCGCCAGTATGATGGAAGGCACTGCTGTCTTGACCCTCCTGAACCGGGGCGTGGACAAGACCAAGGGAGAGAAATAGTTCGGTCTTGCCCTCTCCTCTCCTCCCCCCCCCCCCCTTTTCCCGTCCTTGTATGCTGACCAACGCGTCTATCCAGTATCCTGACCCAACCCAACATGTACGCGAGAGGCATCCTTTTCGGCAAAATGAAATACGAGCTGGGAGACCACAGCTACGTACGCTGTCCGGAGCTCGACTTGGTTGCCGACGTCGAATTCAAAGTGAAGGGCTGGGTCGGAGGTACCTACAACGCCATCGGCGGTTATGTGAAGAGGGAAAGCACCGGCGAGATCCTCTATGAGCTGTCAGGCCTGTGGAGTGGGGAGATGTTCATCCGAGACGTCAAGGTGAGTTGCACGCCCTACTTTTTTTTTATTTTTCTTTATCCCCTATTCTTCTTTTCTTTTTTCTCCCTTATTCTCCCCCTCCCCGCCCTTCTTTTCTTCAGATTGCTGGTACATTGATCGGCTTACACTGGCTAGACCGGAGTGAGGGAAATGTTCTTCAACGCCTTGGAAGCGAAACCGAGCAATCCACTTGTGCGGCCCATCGAGGAGCAAGGAGACCGAGAATCCCAGAGGCTATGGCAGAAGACGACCCAAGCCGTGAGAGACCGCGACCACGACCTTGCCACCGACGAGAAGACCAAGGTAGAGGACCGGCAGCGCAGGGAGCGGGAGAGTCGTCTTCGCGACGGCGTGGAGTGGCATCCACGGCTCTTCCGGCGCGTCAAGGGCGGTCCGGGCGGGTCCGAGGAGGGCATCGAGGAACTCGAATGGATCATCAACGCTAAGATGTGCTTAACTACCCCCCTGCCCCTTGTCCCTATCCTGACTGCCGAGGCCAGAAAAGGGGAGATTTACTGACTTTCTGGTGTACTTGGTAGTGATGGATCCACGCCCGGGGCAGTTGCCGAGCAGATTATGAACATCTACCCCATCGTGGAGGGCCAGGAGTTTTCTCAGGTGAATGCCATCCCGCCGCACAAGCCTGGCGCTTCGTCTTCCGAGTCAGCGACGGGGACCTCGACGGAGCCTGCTCAAGACCGTGATGCTGAAACGGCGCCCGAGGGAGGATATTCGCCAAAGGAGATTCAGACCATGCTGAGTGAGACCGGGACGGCCATACAAACCGATGAGCCGCTCCTGGACTTGGCCGGGGAAGTGAAGAAATGAAAAAGCGGGTTGGTTGAATCAGCGAAATGAGCAAAGAAAAAGAAGGGTCTACCAGTCGACCGCATATGCATATCTGCTTGCATTGGCCCCATGGGAGTTGCGGCGACCGTTGTCTTGTTGTTTGAGAGGATATGGGCATGGGAAGAGGCGTAACTATGAAAGTCTGAGGGAAAAAGGTTAACCCAAAACGCTGGACAGGTAGAGGCAGGATGGTATGTGGACAGGTAGAGCAAGGTGGATAAGGATACCACAGCGACACCCAAGTCGACGACGACGGACAATCATCCCCATTTGGTACATGGTAGATGTAGGCGATTGAATGGTCCAACCTGGCAATACTGAGCGATGAATATTTATTTAGCATTCAAACTGCTTCTCATGGGAACCTGCAAGGTAATGAAATAAGGAGGGAAAAGACACCCTCCGACCTGAACTTGGTTTGGTCATCTTGTCCTATGCTTCTCAAACTCTTTGATGATGTGGTTCGTAGGACATACTGAAAACGCCATGAACGCCTCCTTCTCCTTGCCATATGGCCGTCCCGTCCACAATACATACCTCCTCGGCGCTCCACCACTTCTCGCGGGTATCATACATGGAAGCCTCGCCTCAAACAACCCACAGTCTTTCAGGACATTGCAGCGAGAGGTATCAAC